AGTGGATTGGACTAGATGGCCCATGTGTTCTCTCCCAACTCTAGGATTCGGCCTGAGACCCACAGCAATCCGGCCCACCAGGCCTACAGGCTTTACGTCTCTGTCTGGCAGAGGCCTGGTGGGCCACTCAGCCTAACCCAGTGGTTCTCAACCTGGGGTCCCCAGATGTTTTTGGCCTTCAACTCCCAGAAATCCTAACAGCTGGTAAACTGGCTGGGATTTCTGGGAATTGTAGGCCAAAAACATCTAGCGACCCCAGGTTGAGAACCACTGGCCTAACCCCTTTCTGCCAAGCAGGAAAAGCATATTCAAAGCACCCTGACAGATGGCCGTCCGGCCTCTGTTTAAAAGCTTCCAAAGAAGGAGCCTCCACCACACTCCCTCCGGGGTAGAGAGTTTCACCACTTATTTATTTCTCGTGTCAGGACAGCCAGTCAATTATATTACATTTCTAACAGAACAAAGCAAACAAACAGAGAAAATACAAAATGTGTGGGTTTGGTAGTTGATTAAATGTCCTTTGACTAGTATCTGGCCCCTTGGAGTGCCTCTGGTGTTGCTGCAAGAAGGTCCTCCATGGTGCATTATGTGGCTGGGCTCAGGGTACATTGCAGCAGGTGGTCAGTGGTTTGCTCCTCTCCGCACTCGCATGTCGTGGACTCCACTTTGTGGCCCCATTTCTTGAGATTGGCTCTGCATCCCGTGGTGCCAGAGCGCAGTCTGTTCAGCGCCTTCCAAGTCGCCCAGTCCTGTGTGTGCCCAGGGGGGAGTCTCTCATTTGGTATCAGCCATTGGTTGAGGTTCTGGGTTTGAGCCTGCCACTTTTGGACTCTCGCTTGCTGAGGCGTTCCAGCGAGTGTCTCTGTAGATCTTAGAAAACTATGTCTGGATTTAAGTCGTTGACGTGCTGGCTGATACCCCAATGGGGTGAGCTGGAGATGTCTCTGCCTTGGTCCTTTCCCTATTGGCTGCTACTTCCCGACGGATGGCAGGTGGTGCGATACCGGCTAAGCAGTGTAATTTCTCCAGTGGTGTAGGGCGCAGACACCCCGTGATGATGTGGCATGTCTCATTACGAGCCACATCGACTGTTTTAGCGTGGTGAGATGTGTTCCACACTGGGCATGCATACTCAGCAGCGGAGTAGCACAGCGCAAGGGCAGATGTCTTCACTGTGTCTGGTTGTGATTCCCAGGTTGTGCCAGTCAGCTTTTGTATGATATTGTTTCTAGCACCCACTTTTTGCTTGATGTTCAGGCAGTGCTTCTTGTAGGTCAGAGCACGGTCCAGGGTAACTTTAAGGTATTTTGGTGTGCTGCAGTGCTCCCGTGGGATTCCTTCCTTCCCAGGTAATAATCCTCAGAGCTCGGGATGCTTGTCTGTTCTTGAGATGAAAAGCACATGTCTGTTTTAGATGGGTTGGGGATCAGCTGGTTTTCCCTGTCATAGGCAGTAAGAGCACCTAGATCAGGGATCCTCAAACTTTTTAAACAGAGGGCCAGGTCACAGTCCCTCAAACTGTTGGAGGGCCGGATTATAATTTGAAAAAAAATATGAATGAATTCCTATGCACACTGCACATATCTTATTTGTAGTGCAAAAGTCACTTTAAAACAATTAAATACAACAATTAAATACAACAATTAAAATGAAGAATAATTTTAACAACTAGAAACTTATTAGTATTTCAATAGGAAGTGTGGGCCTACTTTTGGCTTTTTATTTATTTATTTATTTTGGTCGTGTCAGGAGCGACTTGAGAAACTGCAAGTCGCTTCTGGTGTGAGAGAATTGGCTGTCTGCAAAGACGTTGCCCAGGGGACGCCTGGTTTTAATCATCCTTGTGGGAGGCTTTTCTCATGTCCCCGCATGAGGAGCTGGAGCTGATAGAGGGAGCTCATCCGCCTCTCCCCGGATTCGAACCTGCGACCTGTCGGTCTTCAGTCCTGCCGGCTCAGGGGTTTAACCCACTGTGCCACCGGGGGCTGCTTTTGGCTGATGAGATAGGATTGTTGTTGCTGTTGTTGTTGTTGTTGTTGTTGTTGTGTGCTTTCAAGTCGCTTCAAACTTAGGTTGACCTTGAGCGAGGGCCGGGTAAATGACTTTGGAGGGCCGCATCCGGCCCTTGGGCCGTAGTTTGAGGAGCCCTGGCCTAGAGCATTCCACCGCTGAAGAGCTCTCACAGCCAGGAAGTTCTTCCTCATTGTTCAGGTGGAATGCCAGCAGTGACGTCACTTCCTCCCTCCAAGGAAGACTAGGCAAAGGGGGCGTGGCCAGGAGGCCTTCCTTCCTCTCTTCCTTGGAACCCCTCCTTGCCATCCGTCATTCAAAGCCTGATTGCAGCAGGCAGCCAATGAGGGCCTCCGGTGGGCGGGGTTGGCGGGCTCGGCCAATGGGAGGGCGGAGGAGGAAGAGGAGGCGGGCTTCTTCTCGGCCGGGCCTCACCCGAGCGCCATTTTGTGTCTTCTTCGTGAGGCGAGAAGGAGGCGAGAGAGAGGGTTCCTACTGGAGACAGGGCAGGACGAGGGCCCAGCTAAACAGGTCTCGGCTGCTTTTGGTATTGGGTGGGATTCCATTTATTCTATCTCCTTGGAGGGGGAGGAGGAGAAGGGCCTTCCTCCCTCAGAGCAGAAACAGGGGCCCAGTCGCCCTTCCTCTTTCCCAGGGTCCCCCTCTCTCCCTCCCTGCAAGCCCTGCTTCTTTATTATGACGCACATTGTACATCTAATCTGTGTGTATGTCTCCACGTCTCTGTGAATCCCAGCAGAAGGGGATAATGGACTTCTAAACCTCCAAAATAAACAACAAGGACGCAATGGAGCCATGGCTTCAAACTACAAGAGAGGAGATTCCACCTGAACATGAGGAAGAACTTCCTGACTGTGAGAGCCGTTCAGCAGTGGAACTCTCTGCCTTCCCCGGAGGGAGTGTGGTGGAGGCTCCTTCTTTGGAGGCTTTGAAACAGAGGCTAGATGGCCATCTGCCAGGATTGCTTTGAATGCAATATTCCTGCTTCTTGGCAGAATGGGGTTGGACTGGATGGTGGCCCAGGAGGTCTCTTCCAACTCTTTGATTCTATAACTTCCTGACTGTGAGAGCCGTTCAGCGGTGGGAATGTGGTGGAGGCTCCTTCTTTGGAAGCTTTTAAGCAGAGGCTGGCTGGCCATCTGTCAGGGGTGCTTTGAATGCAATATTCCTGCATCTTGGCAGAATGGGGTTGGACTGGATGATGGCCCAGGAGGTCTCTTCCAACTCTAGGATTCTAGGATTCTATGAGGCTGGATGGCCATCTGCCAGGGGTGATTTGAATGCAATATTCCTGCTTCTTGGCAGAATGGGGTTGGACTGGATGATGGCCCAGGAGGTCTCTTCCAACTCTAGGATTCTAGGATTCTATAACTTCCTGACTGTGAGAGCCATTCAGCAGTGGAACTCTCTGCCCAGAAGGAGTGTGGTGGAGGCTCCTTCTTTGGAGGCTTTGAAACAGGGGCTGGATGGCCATCTGTCGGGGGTGATTTGAATGCAATATTCCTGCTTCTTGGCAGAATGGGGTTGGACTGGAGGATGGCCCAGGAGGTCTCTTCCAACTCTAGGATTCTAAGATTCTATGAACACATACAGTCATATACATAAACACATGCACACATGCATACAGACATGCACACACACACATATACACATACACATATAAACACATACACAAATACACACACACACACACACACATATATAGACACACACATATATATAGACACACACACATATATACACAAATACAGACATAAACCATATATACAGACTGGGCCACAGCAACGCATGAGTTCCTCTTGTGCCCCCAAGAAAGGTTTCTCTATTATGCCTACATCAATAGGAGCATAGTGTCTAGATCTAGGGAAGTCATGCTCCCCATGCTCTATTCTGCTCTGGTTAGACCACACCTGGAATATTGTGTCCAATTCTGGGCACCACAATTGAAGAGAGATATTGACAAGCTGGAATGTGTCCAGAGGAGGGCGACTCAAATGATCAAGGGTCTGGAGAACAAGCCCTATGAGGAGCGGCTTAAGGAGCTGGGCATGTTTAGCCTGAAGAAGAGAAGGCTGAGAGGAGACATGATAGCCATGTATAAATATGTGAGAGGGAGCAAGCTTGTTTTCTGCTTCCCTGGAGACTAGGACGCAATGGGACAATGGCTTCAAACTACAAGAGAGGAGATTCCATCTGAACATGAGGAAGAACTTCCTGACTGTGAGAGCCGTTCAGCAGTGGAACTCTCTGCCCCGGAGTGTGGTGGAGCTCCTTCTTTGGAAGCTTTGAAACAGAGGCTGGATGGCCATCTGTCAGGGGTGATTTGAATGCAATATTCCTGCTTCTTGGCAGAATGGGGTTGGACTGGATGGCCCATGAGGTCTCTTCCAACTCTTTGATTCTATGATTCTATATTGTATATCTAATCTGTGTGTATGTATGTATGTCTGTGTGTGTATCCCAGCAGAATGGGATAATGGACTTAATAAACCATATATACATATACACATACAGTCATATACACATGCACACATACATACATATAGACACACACACACATATATACAAGCACACACAAATATATACATATGCACACATACATACATATATGTATACATGTATAAACACATACACAAATGTATATATACACACACACATAAACACAAATACATATAAAACATATAAACAGACTGGGCCACAGCAACGCATGAGTTCCTCTCGGGCCCCGAAGAAAGGTTTATCTATTATGATGTATATTGTATATGTAATCTCTCTGTGTGTGTGTGTGTACACACTGGCCATCCCCTACCATGCATTGCTGTGGCCCAGTCTGTATATAATAATAATAATAATAATAATAATAATAATAATATTTTTTATTCCCCCATGGGGACATCACAAGGGGACCTTTTCTCTCTGAAACCCCCAGCTTTCTTAGGATTTCCTTTTGGGGGGGAGGGGGCAGACTTGCAGGCCTTTGTTTTTATTTAATGTATGAAGGAAAACTGGCATATTTGCTTCTTCCTTTTTTCTCTGTTTTGCCTATGCTCAGAAGATGGGAGGACTGGTCAGAGTACATGCCTGTTTTTCCACAAGTCAGGATTTCATTACTTTCATTACTGCAAACATTCCTACATCTCTGAATGGAAATCCTGTGTTTCTCTAGATCTCCTTGAGCTGCTGAAAGACTTCTCCTGGACAGAGGACAAAGGAGAAGAGGGATGACTGGGCAAGAGTAGAAAAAGGTAGGCAGGAAGGAGGCTTTCCTGTTTATCTTGGGCCTCAACTGAGAGAGTGGAACTTAGTTTAACAGAGAGTAATGTAGTGAATATCCCAATATATTTAAATGTGGGTTTGAAGTATCCAAATTATTGGCTGAGTGGAGGATTCATTTGGGAATACCAGAAAATGTGGTAGCAAAATTTTGCGATGGGAAAAGAGGGAAAGGAGGTTTTGGGCTTCATGCCTAATCTTTTCCTGCTTCTTCCTTGACCAGGAACATAAGGATTCCATGGAGATGTCTTTGGTGTGATGAGAAACAAACCAGCATTTAGTGGCCATTGAGGATTTTGGAAACCAAACATGCTGTAAGGAAAAGAGTCTTGTAGGAAAAAGACATCCCCACAAAGTGCTGATCTTGCATAACTGGCTTTGGATGAGAAAGGGAAAAAGAAAACTGACGTGTCAATATTGTAATTAAATATACATATCATTGTCAACATGCAAGGGAAACCCTATACATGCCTGGAGTGTGGAAAGAGCTTCACCCAGAGTGGAAATCTATATTCACATCAGAGGATTCACACAGGAGAGAAACCCTATAAATGCCTGGAGTGTGGAAAGAGCTTCAGTCAGAGTACACACCTACGTAAACACCAACAAACTCACACTGGGGAGAAACTCTATAAATGCCTGAAATGTGAAAAGAGTTTCCTTCAGAAGCAAAGTCTGCAGCAACACGAATGGACTCACACTGGGGAGAAACCCTATAAATTCTTGGAGTGTGGAAAGAGCTTCACTTACAGTGGAACTCTACGTTCACATCAAAGGATTCACACTGGTGAGAAACCCTATGAATGCCTGGAATGTGGCAAGAGCTTCACTTGCAGTGGTAATTTATGTTTGCATCAACAAACCCACACTGGTGAGAAACCTTGTAAATGCCTGGAGTGTGGAAAGAGCTTCACTCGGAGTACACACCTACATAGACACCAACAAACTCACACATGGGAGAAACCCTATAAATGCCTAGAATGTGGAATGGGTTTCACTCGGAGGGATTCTCTCCAGAAACATGAAAGGACTCACACTGGGCAGAAACCCTATCAATGCCTGGAGTGTGGAAGGAGTTTCACTAGGAGCGATTATCTGCAGCAACATGAAATGATTCACACTGGTGAGAAAGCCTATGAATGCCTGCAGTGTGGAAAGAGCTTCACTCGGAGGGATCACCTGCAGCGACATGAAAGGATTCACACTGGGGAGAAGCCCTATAAATGCCTGGAGTGTGGAAAGAGCTTCGCATGGAGTAGAAGTTTACATTTGCATCAACAAACCCACTTTAGAGAGAAACCTGATGTTATGGAGCCTGGGAGATGTAGGCCAAACAAGGGCATAGTGTTACAGCCTGTGCTGGATGGGGTTACACTTCCCTGAAGACACAGGTTTGCAGCTTGGGAGTTCTGGATTCATCATTGAGCCTGGAACCCCAGGTCTCGGCAGTGGCCAGGGGAACGTTTGCACAATTAAAACTGTGTGCCAGTTGTGCCCGTACCTTGGGAAGCCTGACTTGGTCACAATGGTCCACGCTCTTCTTACATCAAGGATAGACTACTGCAACATGCTCTGCATGGGATTGCCTTTGAAGCTTCAAGTGGTCCAACAGACAGCAGCTAGATTTCTAACTGGGGCAGCGTGCAGGGAGCATACAACTCCCTTGTTATGTCAGCTCCACTGGCTGCCAGTGCACTATGAAACCCTAAACAGTTCCGGCCTGTCCAAAAATATCTCCCTTCTATGATCCACCTCAGAGATTAAGATCTTCTGGGGAGGCCTTGCTCTCGGTCCCGCCTTCCTCCCAAGCTTGACTGGTGGGGCTGCGGTACGGGGCCTTCTCAGTGGTGGCCCCTCAACTATGGAACTCCCTCCCCAGGGAAATTAGTGCAGCCCCATCTCTCCAGGTGGTTATGTGACCAAAGTTTTGGACAGCAATCCTCGTAGTGTAAAAAGTGATAGTGAACAAACCAATGCAACAACTACGGGCTTGATTTTTAAATTGTTTTTTAATCGGTGGGTTTTAATATAAATGTTACTATAATCAATGTTTAATTTTGTATGCTTTATGTCTAAACGTTCTTTTATGTTTATGTTTTGATTTGGTTATGTAAATCTATTGTTATATGTTATTGGCTTGCTATTATCTTCTGCTTTTCACATGTAAGCATGGCATTGAATTTTGCTTTTATAGTGCAAGAAACTGTTTTGAGTTCCCTTAAGTGGAGAAAAGCAGGCTATCAATGTAGTAAATAAAGAAATAATAGTTTTACAAGCCATTTCTGCCAAAGTGTCCTGATGCCTCAACTTGCAGCTCCCATGATTCCATAGCCTTGAGTCATGGCAACTGAAGTGGTGTCAAACTGCATTAATTACACATTGTAGATGTATCCTCAATAAAGACTATAATGCCCCTCCAAATGGAAGACTGTATTACAATGGGATGGACTCAGTCAAAGAAGCTTTGGCCATTTCCCTGGCTTTGCACCGCCTGAGCAGGATTTATTTATTTATTTGTTATTCGAACTTCTATGCCGCCACTCCCCTGGGGCTCAGAGCGGCATACAAGAATGGCTAAAATCTAACACAGTTTTAAAACAATTTAAAAACAGCAAAATCACAGATCAAATGTCTGTCGAAACAGGTATGTCTTACATGCCCTGCAGAAAGCTGGTAAGTCCCGCAGGGCACGGATTTCAGGTGGCAGAGTGTTCCAAAGTGATGGTGCCACTGCTGAGAAGGCTCTGCATCTGGTTGCTGTTAGACGCAAGGTCTTGACACTGGGGACTTCCAATAGATCTTGGTCCTCAGAGCGGAGGGATCTCTGGGGTTGGTAGGGGGTGAGGCGGTCCCTCAGTACATCGGCCCCAGACCATGCAAGGCCTTCGAGGTGAGTCCCATCCCTTTGAAAGTGATCCGGTGCTCAATTGGTAACCAATGCAGCTGTAGTAAGACTGGGGTGATGTGGCATGTTATCGGAATTCCCGCAAGAAGCCGAGCAGCTGCATTTTGTACCAAGTTGAGCTTCCGGATCACCAGTAGAGGAAGGCCAATGTAGAGGGCGTTACAGTAGTCCAGTCTTGAGATGACCGTGGCCTGGATCACCGTAGCGAGGTCGTCCCTGGACAGGGAGGGGGCCAGCCGTCTAGCCTGCCGCAGGTGAAAGAAGGCGGTTCTGCCCACGGCGGAGAGAGACCTGGGCCTCCATTCTCAGCAGAAGGTCCAAAAGGACTCCCAGACTCTTGACCAATGATGACGGGCGTAGCACCTCGCCATCCAGGGTAGGCAGCTGGATGTCCCCACTGCCCGGTCGACCCAGCCATAGGATCTCCGTCTTTGCTGAGTTCACCCTCAACCTGCTGGCACGCAGCCATCCAGTAATGGCCTCAAGGCACAGATGGAAACAATCGGGTACAGTGTCCGGTCGGCCTTCCATCTTCAGCACCAGCTGAGTGTCATTGGCATACTGGTAACACTCCAGCCCAAAACCTCGAACCAGCTGAGCGAGTGGTTGCATATAGATGTTAAATAACAGAGGGAAGAGAATGGCCCCCTGAGGAACCCCACAAGAGAGAGAGGGGGGACCTCTCAGAGACCAGGCCTCCCCTCTCCACTCGCTGTCCACGGTTGTGAAGAAAGGAGACAAGGTGACCTGGGTTCAGTCCTTCATGGGGGCTAGGCAAAACTATGGATAGGCGGATCTGTAATTGGTTAAGTGAACCGACCCAGAGGGCGATTCTCCCCAAGCCTTCCTCTTCATCCTGGAGAGAAGTGACAGGTGGAGTGCCATCAGCAGGGTTTTGTCCTGGGCCCGGTCCTGCTCAGGATCTTCATTCATGACTAAGATGAAGGGTTAGAAGGCAGATGACACCAAATTGGGAGGGATTCTAATAATATGTTATAATATAATATATTGTATATACATATAATATTAATAATATTGTAATGTAATGCAATATAATACTAGTAATTGTTTTTAAATGCATAATGATTTTGTATTCTGTATATCTAAACTGTTGTAAACCGCTCTGAGTCGCCTAAGGGCTGAGAAGAGCGGTATATAAATAAAGTAAATAAATAAATAAGGGATAGCCAGTACAAGACAGGAGTAGAATTCAAAACGATCTGAACAGATTAGAGAGATGATTGACCAAAACTGACAAAATGAAGTTCAACAAATGCAAGGTACTCCACTTACACAGAAAAAATGAAATGTAAAGATATAGAATGGGGGGACAAATGATGCCTGGCTTGAGAGCAGGGCGTAGGAAAGATATATTGGATGCCTCGTGGGGAGGAAAGGGAACATGAGCCAACAATGTCATGCGGCGGCAAAAGAAGCCAATGGAATTTTGGCCCGTGTCAATAGGAGCCTAGTAGCTAGATCCAGGAAAGCCATGCTCCCCACACTCTATTCTGCCTTGGTTAGACCACACCTGGAATACTGAGTCAAATTCTGGGTACCACAATTGAAGGGAGATGTTGAAAAGCTGGGATGTGTCCAGAGGAGGGTGACTAAAATGATCAGGGGTCTGGAGAACAAGCCCTATGAGGAGCGGCTTAAAGAGCTGGGCATGTTTAGCCTGACAGATGGCCATCCAGCCTCTGTTTAAAAGCTTCCAAAGAAGGAACCTATACCACACTCTGGGGCAAAGAGTTCCACTGCTGAATGGCTCTCACAGTCAGGAAGTTCTTCCTCATGTTCAGACAGAATCTCTTTTTGTAGTTTGAAGCCATTCCTCCATTGCGTCCTAGTCTCCAGGGAAGCAGAAAGGAAGCTCCCTCCCTCCTCCTCCCTGTGGCTTCCTCTCACATATTTATACATGGCTATCATATCTCCTCTCAGCCTTCTCTTCTTCAGGCTAAACATGCCCAGCTCCTTAAGCCGCTCCTCATAGGGCTTGTTCTCCAGACCCTGGATCATTTTAGTCGCCCTCCTCTGGACACATTCCAGCTTGTCAATATCTCTCTTGAATTGTGGTGCCCAGAATTGGACACAATATTCCAGGTGTGGTCTAACCAAAGCAGAATAGAGCATGGGGAGCATGACTTCCCTAGATCTAGACAATAGGCTCCTTTTGATGCTCGTAAGTGGCATAATGCACCATGCAGGTAAAAAGGCCAACTGAGAGATGTGCCTTTTTACCCAGGGAGTCCACCTTCTTCCCTTCTCTATTGGGGGGGGGGGCAGACAGAGCCCTTAGGGCGTTTGGTCTTTACGACCTCTACTACCACAGTGTTGGGTCAAGGAGGGTTAGAGACCCACCTAGCGGAAGATACATCAATCTTATAAAGTGAATCCACCCTCCTAGGAATTGCAGGGACCCCTGAAGCGGGTACATCAGAGATCTTAGCCGTCTTAATGAGGTAAGGTAACACAGGTAAAGATGTAGAAGGGATGACATTCTGTTCCTCAGACAGGAACACTGGGTCCTCAACATGTTCTGGGGGTTTCGGGGAGGGGATATTAAGCAAGTGCCTTAATCATTCCATCAACCAACGCACTAAACTGATTGAAGCCAGCAGATTGAACAGTCACGTTGTCCCCTCCCCCTGTGGCTTACACAGAATCAGGGAGGGTCCTGTGAAGCGTCAGTGTCACCAAGCTCTATATTCTTTTGCTCAGGTAAGCTATTCACATCAGTAACATCAGGCACATTAGGTATTGGGGGGGGGGGCATGTAATAGGCTGTAAGGTGAGGCACCAGTCTATCTCTCTGTACGCATCTCTTCCTACGAACCCCCCAGGAACCTAAGATTGTCTGGGGAGGCCCTGCTCTCGATCCCGCCTGCTTTGCAGGCACGTCTGGCAGGGACGAGAGACAGGGCGTTCTCTGTGGTGGCCCGTCAGCTGTGGAACTCCCTCCCTAGGGATATTAGATCAGCCCCCTCCGTCCTGACTTTCCAAAAAAGAGCAAAAACCTGGCTCTTCAGCCAAGCATTCGGAACCCCGGAGTAAATAGACAAACTAGAGTTGGAAATTGACCCAGGAACGGCAAAGACATTGCAAATCTCTTGGGAAGACAGATGAACAAACGTTAGCATGCTGGAAGAAGCAAAGACCACCAGCACTGAAGCAATGCAACTTTTATTTGTTTGTTTATTTACTTCATTTGTATACCGCTATTCTCAGCCCATAGGCGACTCACAGCGGTTAACAACAGAAGTAGCAAAAATTCAAAGCTAACATCAAACAAGGTATTTAAAAACAATTAACACAATAGCAGACTAAGCAATTAACATCAATAAACACTCATTGGCGTCTCGTAACTAGAATCATGATCCAAACTCGTCATCTGTTGTTCCGTTTCCTATATTCATTGCACTGCCTATTCAAACGCCTGTTCAAATAACCAGGTTTTCACTTTTCTCCGAAATACCATTAGTGAGGGAGCCGATCTAATGTCCGTGGAAAGGGCGTTCCACAGCTGAGGGGCCACCACCGAGAAGGCCCTGTCTCTCGTCCCCGCCAACCGTGCCCGTGTTGCAGGCGGGATCGAGAGCAGGCCTCCCCGGAAGATCTCAAAGTCCTAGTGGGTTTGTAGGCAGAGATGCGATCGGATAGGTAACATGGGCCAGAACCATTTAGGGCTTTATAGGCCAACGCCAGCACTTTGAATTGAGCCCGGCACCAAATTGGTAGCCAATGGAGCTGGCGCAACAGAGGGGTTGCATGCTCCCTGAGTGCCGCTCCTGTTAGTATCATGGCTGCTTTTAGTTCACAAATTCAATTGCAGTTTTTGTGAATCATCTTCTTGTAGAATTAATGTTAATTTGTCATTTTATCCATTAAAAAATTGTAATCCATTCCTCTGGTGTTGGGTGTTCCTTGTTTTATCCATAGTTTTGCATATTCAATTCTGGCTGCTGTAGTCACAAACAGGAAGATTCTTTCCTGGTATTTATATTTATCGTTTCAGGAGCAGACCAAACAGCTGTATTGCATTTTTTAAACAAACCTGGTGATTTGGGGTTTGCTTGTCTAAAATTCACAATAAAAAAGGTTCTGGTTTCAGTATTATTAAGGACTTTTTATGTTGTTTTCAATATTGGTTCTGTAGCATCTGTGGATCATTTTGTAAAAAAATAGTAACTTCTTGTAAAATGGAATCTATTCTTCCAAAGTTCCTCCCATTCTTCTCCCCTTTTTTATTTCCTACATTTATACCTCCGTCCTTCACACTTACCTATTTGAGCCCAATATTTCTGGGCTTTTCTGCAAGATCACCACAAGATGATGACATTCCCAACACTGTGCCGTCATTTACATTTGTTAGAGTTGCCTTTGTACATCGTAGAGTCTCCCTTAGCATCCATTTACTAGAATGTGAGATTCACGTGGCTGCAGGTGACCCCTCCGAGTGAAACTCTTTCCATGCTCAAGGCATCCCAGTGTGCGTTCTATTATGTTTTTGAAGATTTCCACTTTCACAGAAGCTCTTTCCACACTCCAGACATTAATAATAATAATAACACTTTATTTGTACCCCGCTAACATCTCCCCAAGGGACTCGGTGCGGCTTACATGAGGCCAAGCCCGCAATACATCAATAAACAAAACATCAATAAAATAAAACATCGATAAACAATCAATACAATATTAATCATAAATCACATAAACAAAATAGACAATAAGCAATCAACAATAACATATAAACATTTAAAACCAAACGTGATAGATTAAAATTAAAAAATAGTGCTGATGTGAACAAGGTAGGATATAATTGGGATAGGATTTTCAGAGAGAATGAGGGAATGATAGGGTTTCTCCCCAGTATGAGTTCGTTGGTGTCTATGTAGGTTGCCACTGCCAGTGAAGTTGTTTCCACACTCCAGGCGTTGATAGGGTTTCTCCCCAGTGTGAATTTGTTGGTGTCTACGTAGACCTCCACTACGAGTGAAGCTCTTTCCACACTCCAGGCATTGATAGGGTTTCTCCCCAGTATGAGTTCGTTGGTGTCTACGTAGGTCTCCACTGCCATTGAAGTTCTTTCCACACTCCAGGCATTTATAGGGTTTCTCCCCAGTGTGCAGCCTTTCATGTTGCTGCAGAGAATGCTCCCAACTGAAACTCTTTCCACACTCCAGGCATTTATATGGTTTCGCCCCAGTGTGAGTTCCTTGGTGGTTATGTAGGTATATACGCTGAGTGAAGCTCTTTCCACACTCCAGGCATTTATAGGGTTTCTCCCCAGTGTGAGTTTGTTGGCGTTTACGTAGGTCACCACTGCCAGTGAAGTTCTTTCCACACTCCAGGCATTGATAGGGTTTCTCCCCAGTGTGAGTTCTGTGGTGAGACTGTAGACTCCAATGCCAACCGAAGCTCTTTCCACACTCCGGGCATTTATAGGGTTTCTCCCCAGTGTGAGTTCGTTGGTGGTTATGTAGACTTCCACTATCACCGAAGCTCTTTCCACATTCCAGGCATTTATAAGGTTTCTCCCCAGAGTGAATCTTTCCATGTTGCTGCAGATGATGCCTCCAAGTGAAACTCTTTCCACACTCCAGGCATTCATAGGGTTTCTCCCCAGTGTGAGTTCGTTGATGTGAACGTAGAGCTCCACTCTGAGTGAAGCTCTTTCCACACTCCAGGCATTTATAGGGTTTCTCACCGGTGTGAGTTCGTTTGTGAGTATGTAGGTTTGAACTCTGAGTGAAGCTCTGGCCACATTCCAGGCATGTATAGGGTTTCTCCCCAGTGTGAGTCCTTTGATGTGACTGCAGACTTTCATTCTGGTTGAAGCTCTTTCCACACTCCAGGCATGTATAGGGTTTCTCCCCTGTGTGAGTTCGTTGGTGTTTATGTAGACTTCCACTATCAGTGAAACTCTTTCCACATTCCAGGCATTTGTAAGGCTTCTCACCAGTGTGAATCCTTCCATGTTTCTGCAGATGATGCCTCCAACTGAAACTCCTTCCACACTCCAGGCATTCATAAGGTTTCTCCCCAGTGTGAGTTCGTTGGTGTTTATGTAGACTTCCACTATCAGTGAAGCTCTTTCCACACTCCAGGCATTTATACGGTTTCTCACCGGTGTGAGTTCGTTTGTGGGTATGTAGATGTGAATTCTGAGCGAAGCTCTGTCCACACTCCAGGCATTCATAGGGTTTCTCACCAGTGTGAATCTTTTCATGTCGCTGCAGATTATGTCTCAAAGTGAAACTCCTTCCACACAACAGGCATTCATAGGGTTTCTCCCCAGTGTGAGTTCGTAGGTGTTTATGTAGATTTCCACTATCAGTGAAGCTCTTTCCACACTCCAGGCATTTATAGGGTTTCTCCCCAGTGTGAGTTCGTTGGTGTTTATGTAGGGTTCCACTATCACTGAAGCTCTTTCCACATTCCAGGCATTCATATAATTTCTCCTGCATGTTGACAGTGGTATGTATTTTTGACTGCAATATGGACACTTCTCTCTTTTATTCCCTTTCTTTTTCCCCAAAGTCAGTTCAGCAAGATCAGCACCTGGAGAGGATGTCTTTTTCATACAGGACCCTTTTCCTTACAGCTTCTTTGGTTTCCAGATTCCGCAATGTGTACTAGATGCTGCTTTGATTGTCATCACACCAGAGATATTGCCATGGAATCCTTATGTTCCTGGTCAAGAAAGAAACAGCAAAAGATTAGACATGAAGCCAAAAAACTCCGTTCCCTCCCTTCTCTTCATAAAAGTTTGCTACTACCAAATTTTCTGGTATTCCCAAATGAATCCTCCACTTAGCTAAGAATCTGCCTCCAATCTGGATACTTCAGATCCACATTTCATCATCATCATCATCATCATCATCATCATCATCATCATCATTTAATTACTTATTAATCGCCCTCCATCCGAGAATGCTCTAGGCGATTTACAGCTAAATTGTAAAAGATAAAATACATACATACAAAAATTAAAAATCAACAGAGATCGAATGCTCTAGTAAAAAGCCAGGTCTTAAGTGCGAGAGTAAAAGGCCCTCAGTCACGCATGGCTCTCATGTAGGGCGGCAAGGAATACCATAAGGCAGGGGCAGAAATAGAGAAAGCCCACCTGCGCCTGGTCCTTTCCAAGGGCACTTCTTTAGGACCTGGTATATAGAGTAAGTCGCATTGGGCTGGTCGTTGCGACCTCCGATGATGGGAGAAGGAGAGGCGGTCCCTAAGGTACAATGGACCCTGGCTGTAAAGAATTTTAAAGGTTAGAACTAACATCTTATACAGGCCACGGTACTCAGTTGGAAGCCAGTGCAAATGTTACAGCACTGGTGTTATGTGGCATTTCATGGGCGTTCTTGTGAGTAACCTGGCTGCCGCGTTCTGAACAATATGGAGTTTTCGGGTCATAGACATCGGAAGGCCAACATATAGGGTGTTACAATAGTCCAGCCTAGGCGTGACCGTGGCATGGATGACAGTAGCCAGAGCCTCGTCAGATAGGTTGGGTGCCAGTTGCCTCGCTTGTCATAGATGGAAAAAGGCCTGTTTGCTGGAAGCAGCGACCTGAGCTTCCATTGTCAGCTGCGAATCCAAAACGGCACCCAAGCTCTTAACAATGGGCGAAGGAGATAGGGTGGCACCATCGAAGGTGGGTAATGGAGGAGTCAGACCTGCCGGGCGGCCATGCCAGGGAATCTCAGTCTTCGCTGGGTTGTGAACCATATTTAAACATATGGAGGTCTCCACAACATTTGTCTCTGCTGAACCAATTCCCCTCTCTGCCTTTCCCTCCCTCTGTTGTGCCCAGGATGGGATGCCAAGGCAGGAAACCCCCTCCCTCCCTCCCTCCCTCCCTCCCTCCCTCCCTCCCTCCCTCCCTCCCTCCCTCCCTCCCTCCCTCCCTCCCTTCCTTCCCAGCTTTTTCTCCTCAGCCCAGTCATCCCTCTTCTCCTTTGCTTCTGTCCAGGGGACATTTCCCAACAGCTCAAGGATCTAGCGAAACAGGGCATTTCCATATAGGGAGGGAGAAAGGTTTGCAGGAATTAAAAGCAATGAAGTCCTGGCCTGGGGAAGAACGGGCATCTCCTCTGACCAGTCCTCCCACAAAAGCTTCCTCCCAAATGCTCTCCCGTACATGGGTGGGACAGAGAGGAAAGGGAGAAGCAAATGTGCCAATTTCCCCCATCTATATAAATAAAAATGTAATGTTTGTTTGTGGGATTAACAGAACTCAAAATCCACTGGACAAATTGACACCAAATTTGGCAGCAAAAGACATTCTAATCTGATCTATGTCTTTCAAACAAAAATAAAAAATCCTGTAAGAAATGAAGGGGGAAAAACTTAAAACTCCTCAAAAAGAAAAATGCCTTACAGAGCATGTGCAAAAGCCCCTCTCCCCATTGCGCGAGAAGAATGAAGCCGTTGTGAGGGAAGGGAAGCCTCGCCATGGAGTCCTTTTCTAAGCCTGGGCCCTCCTTCATTCCCTCCCTCCCAGTCTTCTTCCTCTCTTTGTCAGCCCCACCAAACACAGAACTCTCCTCCTTCTTTTCTCCCTGGAGAGGCACGCGGGGGGCTGCTCCGTGTGGATGCTGCTTGCCAGGCTTCACCTTCACTTGTCTGGGTGCCGATGAGAAGGGAGCTTTGCAGCGGTCAGCCTTGCTGGGCCCGGCAGGGGCGGGAGGCATTTTTCAAGGTGGGCCTTGCTCACCCACATTGGCCCCTTCTTTCTGCCGCAGCCTCTGGGCGCCTTCCAAATGACCCTGCCTGCATGCCCACCCGCCAAACAGGGAAGGCGCCTTGCAGCCATTGCAGAAAGAAAAAGGGGCAGAGCGGGGTGAGCGAGGCCTGCCTCAAAAAACACCTCCCGCCTGCCCCACGCCCGGCCCAGCAAGGCCGAGGGCTACAGTAAGGCTCCCTTCCTGCCGGTGCTCAGGCAAGAGGTAGAGAAGGGAAGGAGAGAGGGAGAGAAGAAAGGATTGAAAGAGGGCAGGAAAGAAAGAAAGAAAGAAAGAAAGAAAGAAAGAAAGAAAGAAAGAAAGAAAGAAAGCAAAGAGGAAAGGAAAGGAGGAAATAAAGAGGTAGAGAAGGAAGAAAGGAGAAAAAGAAGGTAAAGAAAAGGAGGGAGAAAGGAAAGAGAGAAGGAAAGAAAAAAGGAAGGAGCAAAGGAAAGAGGGAGGGAGGGAAGGAGAGAGAGAGAAAAAAAGGGAGAGAAGGTTGGCCACAGCAACGCATGGCAGGTACAGCTAGTACATTACAACAATTCTTTATTGATTAGTCAATTTTGACCATATCAAAACATATAGAACATACAAAACATATACACTTGCCCATACGTACAATAAAACCATATATGAATATAAGTTAATCTCAATAGTATTCGATTTAAAACTGCCTTGAGAGTGACCAAGAGGAAGCCTGAGCAGCACAATGGGGAGAGAGAGAAGCCGAAGACTATCCCTCTCTTTGAACCCAAGGAATGCAAATACAAATATAAATCAACACCAAGGAATGCAAATATAAATACAAATCAACGCCTATCCTCCTCTTCAACTGATAATGTAAGTTCCCAACCAACCCTCCCCCCCCCCCCCGGTTTTAGCTCCAATACCAACAGAATATAGATTCTCTATACTGACGGAAGATTACCCTGAGACGGTGAAGGAAAACAGCCACACGGCAACTCCCCCAGGGACAAATAGCTATGATAGGAAAACTAACTCTAAATTAAATAAAAACAAGGGCCTACAAGTCTGGCCTCTCAAAAGGAAATCCTAAGAAAGCTGGAGGTTTGGAAGAGAAAAGGTCTTCCCTGTGATTCCAAAATACAGATAACCAATCAAGGAGCCGTGTGGACCCCGTAACCAGAGCGCCTGCTTCTTTTAAACCAGATCAACACATAGACCAGGTTTGAAGGCAACAGGAACAGAAGTTTTATTACTTTGAGGGCTGAGAGAATGTTGTGTGTGTGTGTGTGATGTTCGTTTGTGGGAGAAACATAACTAAGAAACCAGGTAAGCTGGGCCAGAACTCTTTAGAGCAGAGGTTCTCAAACTAAGGCCTGCGGGCCGGATGCGGCCCTCTGAGGTCATTTTTTTGGTACCTGGTCTAAACTTTGAAACAACTTCAAGTCACACAACAACAACAACAAAAACCAGATAGGAGAAGAACAGACAGGCTTCCTCCCTGGAAGGCAGATGAAGGAGAAAACGAGGAATATTATAGACTTATTGGAATACTACGATCAACATCATGAAATAGAGGTAGCCTTCATAGCGGTGGACACCGAGAAGGCATTCGATAATATGAGATGGGAATTCTTTAAATCACTCTTGAGAGAGATGGACTTTGGCCATGGGTTCATCAATGCAATCGAGGCAATCTATTGCAAACAAAAAGCCACGCTGTGGATTAATGGCTATCCCTCAAGTCCAATAGCAATAAGAAAAGGTACACGACAAGGCTGTCCCCTCTCCTCCCTCATATTTATCATGTCCCTAGAAATTTTGCTGAGAAAGTTGAGAGAAAATAAAAATTTGCCTCCACTGAGTGTAGGAAAGCAGGCCAACAAATTTAGAGCTTTCGCCGATGATTTGATATGTGTTGTGGAAAACCCAAGAGATCAAGCCCAGAAATGGATTTCGACGATGGAAACATACGGTAATCTAGCGGGCTTTAAGATAAATAAGGAAAAAACAAAAATACTAACCAAAATATGACCAAAGAAAATCAAGAGGACCTCTCTAATTCTACAGGAATGCAAATAGTGCCAAAAATCAAATATCTAGGGATACATATCTCAGCTAAAAATTCCCAACTGTTTAAAAATAACTACGAACCAGCCTGGATTAAGATCAAAAAAGATATGAAAAACTGGACCAACCTCAATATATCACTCCTTGGAAGGATTGCCATTATAAAGATGAACATACTCCCGAGACTACTCTTTATATTCCAAAACATCCCAATAATACAAAGTAAGAAAGTATTTAATGAATGGAATAAAGAGATAAGACGTTTTGTGTGGAAAGGAAAAAAACCAAGGATTAAACACATCCACATGATAGATGCATCTAGCAGAGGAGGTTTGGGGCTACCAGATCTGAACCTGTACCACGACGCTTGTGGGATCTCGTGGATCAAAGATTGGATTCTCCTGGAAAAAGAAAAGACCCTAGCCTTAGAGGGGTATGATTTAAGAATTGGATGGCACTCATATCTGTGGCTGAATCAAACTAAAAAGGAAAGAAACTTCAATAATCGCGCTATAAGAAGGCCACTATTAAAGATATGGGAGAAATATAAAAACCACCTGTACCTCGGGAAAACACCTATGTGGCTCTCACCACTGGAAGGAGAGCAGAGGCGTCTACTAGGCTGGAGGAGATGGCCCACATACAAATCATCCACCATCAAAAAAGAAGGAACTCTCCAATTAAAGACAAAAGAAGAGTTCTCAAAAGAATTCAAATCCTTCTCTTGGCTACATTATTTTCAACTTAGAGAGCACTTTGCCAAAGACCTAAAAAAGGGCTTTATGGAGAAGGATGACTTCTGGGAAAAGATCTTACGAAAAGACAAAAAAAATATAACATCAATATATAATATATTACTAAAATGGGCAACTGAATCAGAATTAATAAAAGAATGCATGACAAAATGGGCAAAGAACATCGGAAGAACTATAATGCTGAAAGAGTGGGAACAAGTATGGTCGAGAAAGATTAAATATACATATTCCTCAACACTGAAAGAGAACTGGTATAAAATGCTGTACCGATGGTACATGACACCGCAGAAACTGGGACAAATGTACAAAAACAACTCTACAAAAACAACTCTACTCAGACCTCACAACCTCTGAGGATGCTTGCCATAGATGCAGGCGAAACGTCAGGAGAAATGCCTCTAGAACATGGCTCTATAGCCTGAAAAAACCCACAAGAACCTAACTCTACTAAATGCTGGAAATGCAATAACCAGACCGGAACCTTTTTCCATCAATGGTGGTCTTGTCCCATGGCAAAGAAATATTGGAAAAAAGTGAATGAAACCTGCGGAAGAATTCTGAAACTTCAAATACAAGAAAGAGCGGAATATTATCTATTAGGAATACTTAAAGAAGAATGGGAATTAAACACAAACGAAGACATACTACTCACATACCTCACGACGGCAGCAAGAATAGTATTTGCGAGAAAATGGAAAACGAAAGAAATACCAACGCAAGAAGAATGGTTAGAAAAAGTTATAGAAATAAAAGAAATGGACATGCTAACATACGCACTAAAAGACACATATAGACGCCCACTCAAAAGAACAGACTGGAACCCATTAAAGGAATACATGGAGAGAAGCGTAACACCAGAAAAAGATGAGTAGATCAAATATCAAGAGACAGAAAGAAACAACAAGGGCTAAGCCATAAAACATAACGGAACAGAAGAAACGAACCTGAGAACGTGGATAAGACAGAGTTGGAAGTCAAACCCCCAAGATCCCACCCCCTCCCCTTAATGCTTTCCCACCACTCCTCGAAAACTTAGTTAAATATTTGATAGGGAACTCCTCCCCCCCTTCTACCCCGCTTCCCCCCCCTCCACCCGGCCAACATTGGCCCTTTTTTTAACTTACCTTGTACAACCACCAACCACTACCCCTCCCCCCCCTCTTTTTACTTGTTGTATTTGAAAAATCTTTCTAATAAAAATTATTTAATAAAAAAATAATAAAAAACAAAAACCAGAATTAACTTGACTATCTGATCAGCCAAAAGCAGGCCCACCATTCCCACTGAAATACTAGTAAGCTTGTGTGGGTTAAAACTGTTCATCATTTTAAATACTGTGTTGTTCTTTTATGTTTTTTGCAGGACAAACAATAGATCTGCAGTGTGCATAGGAATTTGTCCTTGTTTCTCTCAAAATATAGCCCGGCCCCCCAACAGTCTGAGGAACAATGAACCGGTTTGAGGGCCCCTGGTTTAGAGCTGTATAGGCTCAAGCCAGCACTTGGAATGGTGCTCGGGAGCAGATTGGAAGCCAGTGGAGCCGATGTAAGGGTGGTGGTGTTGTTGTTGTGTTGTATGCTCCCTGTGTGCCACTCCGATGAGCAATCTGGCTGACACCCATTGGAACATTATTAGTATTACTATTACTGCAAAGGTTGAACGGCCATCTGTCAGGGGTGCTTTGATTGTGCTTTCTCTGCATGGCAGAATAATGAGGGTTGGACTGGGTGGCCCCTGGGTTGCTCCTATTAGTATTAGTCTTAACCTATAAAGCCCTAAACGACTCCGGCCCAATTTACCTGTCCAAACGTATCCCCCCCCTACGAGCCATCAAGTTTGCTAAGATCGTCTGGAGGGGCCCTGCTCTCGATCCCACCGGCCTCACAGGCGCAGCTGGTGGGGACGAGAGACAGGGCCTTCTTGGTGGTGGCCCCTCAACTCTAGAACTCCCTTCCACTGGAGATCAGAACTGCCCCTTCTATTTTAACATTCAGGAAACAGGTGAAATCTTGGCTATGGGGAGTGGCATTCGACGAATGAGCCATGATCCTGTGACATGGATGGATGACGACGAATAATGATTTTTGATGACAACTGACCACTGTAATTATAGGATTGTATTTTGCTATTTTAATGTTTTAGTGTGATTTAGAATATGATGTTTTAATGACTGTCTGTAATATTGATGTTGGAAACCGGCCTGAGTCCCTCGAACAGAGGTGAGAAGACCGGTATACAAAACTGCTAAATAAATAAATAAATAAATAAATAACTCTCTTTGGTGTTGTTACTTGGAAACCACCCTGAGTTTTCTTCTTATAGGATTATATTATTGTGAAGATTGTATGGCCGTCTGCTGGGGGTACTTTGATTGTGCTTTCCCTGCATGGCAGAATAAAGGGGGCTGGACTGGGGGGGGCCTGGGCTTGCTCCTATGAGTGTTAATATTAGTGCCTAGATCTAAGGAAGTAATGCTACCCCTCTATTCTGCTTTGGTTAGACCACACCTGGAATACTGTGTCCAATTCTGGGCACCACAATTCAAGAGAGATATTGACAAGCTGGAATGTGTCCAGAGGAGGGCGACTAAAATGATCAAGGGTCTGGAGAACAAGCCCTATGAGGAGCGGCTTAAGGACTGGGCATGTTTAGCCTGAAGAAGAGAAGGCTGAGAGGAGATATGATATTCATGTATAAATATGTGAGAGGAAGCCACAGGGAGGAGGGAGCAAGCTTGTTTTCTGCTTCCTTGGAGACTAGGACGCGGAACAATGGCTTCAAACTACAAGAGAGGAGATTCCATCTGAACAATAGGATATGGCATCAGCAGTGGAACTCTCTGCCCCGGAGTGTGGTGGAGGCTCCTTCTTTGGAAGCTTTTAAACAGAGGCTGGATGGCCATCTGTCAGGGGTGATTTGAATGCAATATTCCTGCTTCTTGGCAGAATGGGGTTGGGCTGGATGGCCCATGAGGTCTCTTCCAACTCTAGGATTCTATGATTCCTCTCTGGTTCCCTGGAGACTAGGTCGCAATGGAACAATGGCTTCAAACTACAAGAGAGGAGATTCCATCTGAACATGAGGAAGAACTTCCTGACTGTGAGAGCCGTTCAGCAGTGGAACTCTCTGCCCTGGAGGGAGTGTGGTGGAGGCTCCTTCTTTGGAAGCTTTTAAGCAGAGGCTGGATGGCCATCTGTCAGGGGTGCTTTGAATGCAATATTCCTGCTTCTTGGCAGAATGGGGTTGGACTGGATGGTGGAGGCTCCTTCTTTGGAAACTTTTAAACAGAGGCTAGATGGCCATCTGTCAGGGGTGATTTGAATGCAATATTCCTGCTTCTTGGCAGAGGGGTTGGACTGGATGGCCCAGGAGGTCTCTTCCAACTCTTTGATTCTATGAGGCTGGATGGCCATCTGTCAGGGGTGATTTGAATGCAATATTCCTGCTTCTTGGCAGAATGGGGTTGGACTGGATGATGGCCCAGGAGGTCTCTTCCACCTCTTTGATTCTATGATTCTATGAGGCTGGATGGCCATCTGTCAGGGGTGGTTTGAATGCAATATTCCTGCTTCTTGGCAGAATGGGGTTGGACTGGATGATGGCCCAGGAGGTCTCTTCCAACTCTTTGATTCTATGATTCTTGGAGCTCCATGAGCACACCTTGCAGGGAGGGAAGGAGGGAGGGAGGCGCGGTGCATGCTGGGAAGGAGGTGAGAGGGGGGCTTTGCTCCTTTTGAGGCCTTTGTTTCCCTCCTGGGTGAAGGCCGCCCTCCCTCCCTCCCTCCCTCCCTCTCTCGCTCCTCACAGGAAGATTGTGTCATAAGGACAATCCTAATAATAAGAATAATCGCCACCTACCTCTCGGCCTCTCCCTCTGCGTGGCTCCACAAGAAACTCTTTCTCCGCCGCCACACCTCGGCAAAATGGCGGACGGGAGGACGGAGAAGCTCCCCTCAGGCTCAGCCGAGAAGAAGCCCGCCCCCTCCTCCTCCTTCGCCCTCCCATTGGCCGAGCCCATGAAGCCCCGCCCTCCCAACTCCCTCATTGGTGGCCTGCCCGTGTGCAGCCTTGATTGACGGATCCAGGGAGAGCTGCAAGGAAGGAAGCAGAGAGGGAGGAGGAGGAGGAGGAGGAAGGCCCCTTTGGACACACATTCAATGGCCCTGACACATAGACTAGGCCCGGAATGAAGAGCCTTGGCCCTTCTCCACCCACACAACATCCCTGCCAGGCAGGCCAGGCTCAGAATTAAGAATTTTTCTTCTTCTTCTTCTTCTTCTTATTAAACTGTATTTACACCCAGCCACCATCTCCTCTCAGGGACTTGGGGCAACTCACAGGATCATAGAATCATAGAATCAAAGAGTTGGAAGAGACCTCCTGGGCCATCCAGTCCAACCCCATTCTGCCAAGAAGCGAGAATATTGCATTCAAATCACCCCTGACAGATGGTCATCCAGCCTCTGTTTAAAAGCTTCCAAAGAAGGAGCCTCCACCACACTCCGGGGCAGAGAGTTCCACTGCTGAACGGCTCTCACAGTCAGGAAGTTCTTCCTCATGTTCAGATGGAATCTCCTCTCTTGTAGTTTGAAGCCATTGTTCCATTGCGTCCTAGTCTCCAGGGAAGCAGAAAGGAAGCTTGCTCCCTCCTCCCTGTGGCTTCCTCTCACATATTTATACATGGCTATCATATCTCCTCTCAGCCTTCTCTTCTTCAGGCTAAACATGCCCAGGTCCTTAAGCCGCTCCTCATAGGGCTTGTTCTCCAGACCCTTGATCATTTTAGTCGCCCTCCTCTGGACACATTCCAGCTTGTCAATATCTCTCTTGAATTGTGGTGCCCAGAATTGGACACAATATTCCAGTGTGGTCTAACCAAAGCAGAATAGAGCATGGGGCGCATGACTTCCCTAGATCTAGACACTATGCTCCTATTGATGCAGGCCAAAATCCCATTGGCTTTTTTTGCCGCCACATCACATTGTTGGCTCATGTTTAACTTGTTGTCCACGAGGACTCCAAGATCTTTTTCACACGTACTGCTCTCGAGCCAGGCGTCCCCCATTCTGTATCTTTGCATTTCATTTTTTCTGCCAAAGTGGAGTATCTTGCATTTGTCACTGTTGAACTTCATTGTGTTAGTTTTGGCCCATCATCTCTCTAATCTGTCAAGATCGTTTTGAATCCTGCTCCTGTCCTCTGGAGTATTGGCTATCCCTCCCAATTTGGTGTCGTCTGCAAACTTGATGATCATGCCTTCTAGCCCTTCATCTAAGTCATTACTAAAGATGTTGAACAGGACCGGGCCCAGGACGGAACCCTGCGGCACTCCACTTGTCACTTCTTTCCAAGATGAAGAGGAAGCATTAGTGAGCACTCTCTGTGTTCGTCCACTTAACCAATTACGGATCCACCTCACCGTAGTTTTGCCTAGCCCACAATGGATGTCCCCTCTCACCCAGGAAATTGCCATCAAAAGCACCTCTGCTTTAAAGTAATTGAAAAGTCAGCTGGAATACTGTGTCCAGAGGAGAGTGACTAAAATGATCAAGGGTCTGGAGAACAAGTCCTATGAGGAGCGGCTTAAGGAGCTGGGCATGTTTAGCCTGAAGAAGAGAAGGCTGAGAGGAGACATGATAGCCATGTATAAATATGTGAGAGGAAGCCACAGGGAGGAGGAGGGAGCAAGCTTCCTTTCTGTTTCCCTGGAGACTAGGACGCAAGGGAGGAATGGCTTCAAACTACAGGAAAGGAGATTCCACCTGAACATTAGGAAGAACTTCCTGACTGTGAGAGCCATTCAGCAGTGGAACTCTCTGCCCCGGAGGGAGTGTAGTGGAGGCTCCTTTGGAAGCTTTTAAACAGAGGCTGGCTGGCCATCTGTCAGGGGTGATTTGAATGCAATATTCCTGCTTCTTGGCAGAATGGGGTTGGACTGGATGATGGCCCAGGAGGTCTCTTCCAACTCTTTGATTCTAGGATTCTATGATTCATGACAAATTGGCGTCAGGAGTGGGATATTTTGTTCCAGTGTGGGAAGGTGATTCAGAACATGTGTTGTCGAAGGCTTCCATGGATGGAATCACTGGGTTGTTGTAGGCTTTGCGGGCTATATGGACATGTTCTAGAAGCATTCTCTCCTGACGTTTTGCCTGCATCTATGGCAAGCATCCTCACAACCTCTGAGGATGCTTGCCATGGGGAAACGTCAGGAGAGAATGCTTCTAGAACATGGCCAGAAAGCCCAAAAAACCTACACCAACCCAGTTCTTCATAACAGTTGTCACTGTCCACTCGAGGCTCCTCCAGTCTCACTCTCTTGGGAGCTGCCAATAAATAAGAGGGTTTGAAAGGGAAGGAAGGGAGTCGGGAAACTTTACAGGCGCCGTCTGGGCTGATACTATTATTATTCTAATATGTCAATGCTTTAATTGTATTTATGGTATTGTGGGCATTGAATTCTGCCCTGTAAACCAGCTTGAGTGGCCTGTGGGCTGAGAAAGGCTGGATACAGATCCAGTCAATCAATAAACAATGACAGGAGGACAAGAGAGGTGTTTCTCTGGATCAGCTGGGAATCTCTGGGGAAGGCGCTCCACCCTCTTCCTGGCCTTCTCTGGGGTTTCAGTGGGCATCCTGTCTGGGCACCCTGACTTGGGGCTCGGCCCCGCATCAAGGGAAGCGCCAACCCTAGAAGATCCCAAGGCCACAATCCCTCCCAAGAGAGGCCCTTCCAGCTAGTCTTGTTGCGCAGCAAGCTGATCCTAGTCAACATCCCATGCAAAACACACAGGCAAGAGGAACAAGGGACAGAGAAATGTTACTCTTATTAGCAGAGATGAAACATAAACTTGCAGTGTTGCATACAAACATCAAACAGTGCCAGAAACTTACATAGCCCTTGTAAGTAACATAGGATAAAGCATCTTCATCTTCCATCAAATGAGAGAGCAAAATATAAACCTCGTGTAAATAGCTATTTCACCATTGCCTCCTTCAGAGCAGCGTTACAGCTTCTCCCAACTGCTCCCCAGAGCAAAGCCCTTGAGCATAGAGCTCCTCAGAGCAAAAGCGGAACTGTATTCTAAAATCCATACAGTTATACCCCAGCAAACAGCTTCTCCCAACTGCTCCCCAGAGCAAAGCCCTTGAGCATAGAGCTCCTCAGAGCAAAAGCCGAACTGTATTCTAAAATCCATACAGTTATACCCCACCAAACAGCTTCTCCCAACTGCTCCCCAGAGCAAAGCCCTTGAGCATAGAGCTCCTCAGAGCAAAAGYTGAACTGTATTCTAAAATCCATACAGTTATACCCCAGCAAACAGCTTCTCCCAACTGCTCCTAAGAGCAAAGCCTTTGAGCATAGAGCTCCTCAGAGCAAAAGCTGAACTGTATTCTAAAATCCATACAGTTATACCCCAGCAAACAGCTTCTCCAAACTGCTCCTAAGAGCAAAGCCCTTGAGCATAGAGCTCCTCAGAGCAAAAGTTGAACTGTATTCTAAAATCCATACAGTTATACCCCACCAAACAGCTTCTCCAAACTGTTCCCCAGAGCAAAGCCCTCGAGCATAGAGCTCCTCAGGGCAAAAGCTGAACTGTATTCTAAAATCCATACAGTTATACGGTTTGGGACCCGCCTACCTTCGTGACCGTATCTCCCTCCATGAACCAGCCCGAGCCCTCTGATCTTCGGGGGAAGCCCTCCTTTTGCCCCTGCCAGTTTCACAAGCTCGCCTTGTGGGCACAAGGGAGAGAGCCTTCTCCTCTGTGGCCCCCCGACTCTGGAACTCATTACCTGGAGAGATCAGGAAAGCCCCTACCCTAGAAACCTTTAAAAAGAACCTCAAAACCTGGCTCTTCCGGTGCGCATTTGGTGAGTAGGTACATAATCTCACACTATCACTCAGCCTCAACGTTTCTGTCATTGGAGTACACGTCCCGTCGTCGTCCCCCCCTCCCTCCCTCCCTCGTGGAGAAGCTTGGTTCCAAAACCCCGTTTTTAATTGGGCTCCCCTTGCAAATAACCTGCTCCTCCTTTTATCTCACCCGAGTTTTTAATCATTTTAAAAATTATTTTATTCTGCACATGTGGCCTGCCCATTGTCACTGTGATCATAATTTTCTATTGCTAATGCATTTATTTTTTTCTTTTATTATGTAATTAGGATGTTGTTGCTTGTTGTTTATTTATTTATTTGTTTATTTACTTCATTTGTATACCCCTCTTCTCAGCCCTAAGGCGACTCAGAGCGGTTAACACAATAATTCAGTATACACAATAGGAAAGCATTGGACATTTAAAAACAGTAGCATAGCAATTAATTAGACACCAAACACCAATACATCAATATAACAGATCCATCACATCTCATCAATAAAATCAGAATCCAATTTCATTATCCATTATTCCATGTTCCAGTAGTCAATTACACTCAATTACACTGCTTGGTTGAATGCCTCTTCGAAGAGCCAGGTCTTCACTCTCCTCCAGAATGCTAATAGGGAGGGGGCTGATCTGATATCTGCAGGAAGGGCGTTCCACAGCTGAGGGGCCACCACTGAGAAGGCCCTGTCTCTTGTCCCTGCCAGGCGTACTTGTGAAGCCGGCGGGACTGAGAGCAGGACCTCCCCAGACGATCTTAATGTCCTAACTGATTCATAGGAAGAGATGCGTTTGGACAGGTAGGTCGGGCCAGAACCATTTAGGGCTTTAAAGGCTAAAGCCAGCACTTTGAATTGTGCCCAGTAGCAAATTGGCAGTCAGTGGAGCTGGCGCAGCAGAGGAGTTGTGTGCTCCCTGAGTGCTGCTCCTGTTAGCATCCTGGCTGCCGAACGCGGCACCATTTGAAGCTTCCGAGCAGTCTTCAGAGGCAATCCCACATAGAGAGCACGTAGGATGTAACCAGCGCATGGACTACCGTGGCCAAGTCAGGCTTCCCAAGGTACGGGTACAGCTGGCGCACAAGTTTTA